TGGTGATGATAAGAATGATGATGATGATGATGATGATGTGATGCGAAGGAAACATGGCAACATCCCAGAGTCAAATTGAATAGACTCAACAATAATGACAAAAATCTGGGATGATTCCACATCCAGATGTGACCTAGGGCACTGCTTGGGTTCCTAAAAACTAGTAAACATTGATCCAAAGACATTGGATGTCACCGTGTGGCAACCTCATAATTCAGCAATCTCTGGCAGCTTCTTATGATGGAAAAAATCCTGGATTTGTAGTCAGACCCTGGCTTCAAATCCCAGTTTTGCCACCTAGTCTGTGTGAGATTGGGCAAGTTCCTTGAAGCCTCTGGGCCTCAGTTTCCTCCTATGTAAAATGAGGGAGTTCAACCAGGTGATCCCTGAGCTGCCTTGCAGCTCTGCCTCTCTAACCCTATAATTCAGGCTTCAAAGCATGGCAGGTCCAAGAAAAACGAAGCAAAAGATCTCCTCTGCTAGGGAATGGGCCTTCAATCTAGAAAGTCAAGAGCACATGCCTCTGCTTACCCTGAGTTTTATGGAAAGCAGGAACCAATAACCTTTTTTGAAGTGGTGACACAGGGTTTAGGGAAGATGGGGGTTTTCTTGTGTTTCACCGCTACATTGGATTATCCACATTCATGGATTCTTCTCTGCCCAAGAATGGCCACTATAAACAAGTTTGCATGCCACCTTTGGCACCTTTGCCCTTGATCTAAGCCCCTCTAAGCATCAAGACCTCAGCCATAGGTATTTTCCTTTCATTTCCCTGGCTTCTGGGACAATGGTCTAATCTTATCTAAACTTAGTCTCTTCCCTAGTAATGGACTAGAGTCTATTACTCTATACCAAGTAAGACCTTACTGAATGTATTTAACTTTATATTATATAGGTTATGTACATACATTTACATACATGTATACATATACATGTATGACACACACACTTGTCTCTATTAGAATCTAAGTTCATTGCAAATACCGATTACTTTATTCTTTGCTCTTGTACTTCAGTACCTAGGACAGTACTTGGTACATAACTTGGTATTTAACGACTACTTTGTGATTTGGTTGAGGTGAGACAATATAGATTTTGGGACAAATAGGGCATAGGACCCCTATTTTCCTCCAGTCCCTTGGAATCCAAACTATTCTACTTTTTATACATTTTCCCTTCAAGGCCTTGAATGAGCCAATGGTCACTTTGGAGAATCACCAATTTTAAGAGTTGGAAGAAACTTCTGTGGCCCTCCAATTCAATCCATACATGAAAAAGAATTCCTTTGTTTGACAACATATCTAACAAATGTTCATCTAGCCATTGCTCAAAGGCACCAGTGAGTGGGAATGCTCCATTTCCCATAGCGGCCTGTTCCACTTTGCCATGGCTCTCATGGACAGGAAGCTTCTCCTGAAGTTGAACCTAAATTAGCCTCCCCACACCCATTATTCCTAGTTCTATTCTCTAGGGCCAATAACAATTAGCTTAATTCTTCTTCCATGTGACAGGCCTTCAAACGCCTGAGGACAGCTCTTCATACTACCCATCCCTACACACATGCACCTCAGGCTTCTCCAGGCTCAACATTCCCAGTTCCTTCAACAGACGTTCCTAAAGTATGAATCTGAGGCCTTTTATCATCCTGGTTGACTCCTCTGATTGCTGAAACAGAAACAGAAAGAGGGAGAGCAATGCCTCTTGTTCTCAGTGGCTCCTTCCTCCCATCCTATCTGAGAAGGATGTGGCCAAATGAATTTGGAAAAGCTTTGATTCTCAAGACTTCAAAAACAATTCTTGTTTTAGTTCAAAGCATAGTCTCAATGTAGAGACATTTCCCTTAATAAAGTTGCATTTTTGAAATAGTTAGCAACTTGAAAAGGAAACCAAGCTTGAATTTTCTTTATAAATGCTAAAGAAACACCAGGATTTCACATCCTTATAAAGATGTGCCTTCACTACATGGCCCAGAGATGGCATTTGTAGAACAAAAGCAGCAATATTTTTCTGCAACTTTCAAAGGAAAGAAGAAGAGAAAGCATTCCATTGTTATTGTTAGTTGTAATTTTAATGCAGGGAGAACTCTGGTTTTTGGAATGAAACACAAAATGATTAAACCATTTTTACAAGGAATTCTATAACTATGCTCTGAAGAAGTGGGAAGTAAATTTTCAAAGGGGGAAATGGTTGCCTAGAGCCACCACCTTGACTATCTTCAAATAGAAGTCAAATGCAAAGGATGTGGGAACTCCTTTTTGGTATAGGTTGAATTAAATGGCCACTAAGGGCTCCAACCCCCAAGTTTTTGTGAGTCTATGATTAAAGGAAATTTTATTATCTGATTATTTTATTTTTTAAAATTGTGATTGATTAAATAGAATAGCAAAGTAACAGATTTGTTTTGGCAGTTTTCCTTCTCTATGCCCTCCTGCTATCTTGTATCTTCAGACTTTATGTACCCAATTCTCCCTACCTAAAACTGTTCATAAGAAAGGATAGCTAGGTAGGAAGGAAGGAAGGAAGAAAAGAAGAAAGAAATAAAAGAAGGAAGGAAGGAAAAAGAAACAATGAAAGGGAGAAAGAAAGAAAAAGGAGAAAAAGAGAGAGAGAGAAAGAGAGAGAGAGAGAGAAAGAGAGAGAGAGACAGAGAGAGAGAGAGAGAGAACCCTCATAGCAAATATGCACAGTAAAGAGAAACTAATGCCTTCATTAGCCATGTCCACAAATCTGTCTCCTTCTGCACTGTGAGTCCATCATGTTTCTTTTAGGAGATGGGTAACAGACTTCATCTCTGGTCCTTTGGGATTGTTTGTCATTACACTGGTCAGAGTTCTATGGTCTTTCTAAGTCTCTTTCTGTGTAATGTTGTTTTCTTTGCACAAATTGTTCTCCTAGTTCTGCTCACTTAACTCTGCATCAGTTCATAAATGTCTTCCTAATTTCCTCTGAAATGGTTCGTTTTTGTCATTTCTTACAGCAAAATAACATTCCATTCCACTCATATGCTGTAATTTGTTTAGCCATTTCCCAAGAAGGGGGCACTCTTTAGTGGACAGGTTTTTTGCTGCTTTGAAAAGAGCTGCTATAAATATTCTTGTACATATGGGTCCTTTTCCTTTCCTTTTCTCTTTTTAGGGTAAAGTATAGTAGTGGTATTTCTGGGTTAAAGGGTTTGCAAGGTTTCATGACTTTTTGAGCATCATTCCAAATAAAACAAATATTTTCTTAATTTTTACTCTCCCTCCCCATTCCTCTTGGCCCCAGCCAGCCATCAGGATTGAGAAGTGTTTACTCATTTCCATGTCTTATTTTTTTTTCCTCTTTGTTTTAGGTTCCTGTGGTTGTCTTGTTATGATACTGTTTGCCTCTGAAGTGAAGATGCACCATCTCTCAGAGAAAATTGCAAATTATAAAGAAGGGACTTTCATATACAAAACTCATAGTGAAAAATATGCCACCTCCTTCTGGATCATTTTCATGTGCTTCTCTGTGCACATTCTGAATGGGCTTTTAATCCGGCTTGCTGGGTTTCAGTTCCCTTTTGCAAAATCTAAAGACTTTGAGACTACTAGTGCAGCAGCAGATCTAATGTACTAAAAGATTAATTTTTTATCATCGTCCACATAGGGAAGTAGGCGTCCTCGGCTCCTGGCAATTCTGCCCCAAAATTAGATCTAAATAGATTCAAATAAGAAAATATATATTGACTGGGGACTTTTGGGGTAAATGGCTATTTTCTACACCAGCAAGGGAAGAAAATAAAGGTGGCAGAAGGAAGAACATGGCATGAGGAGAAGGGATACTTTAAACAGCAGGAAGCCATTTTCCCCAGGTATTCAAAGGGAATCATGAACTCGAATAGGTGAAACGATGCTCTTTGCATAAATCAAAGGGTGATGAAAAGTCTCTTTTGCCATGAGGGAGTCAGAAGATGTCTGCTTTGAGAAGACACATGCCTATCAGAAACTTGATCAAGGCAATCTATGGATGATGCATGTATCAGCAATCAGAGCAGAGAGTGAGAACCTTTTTTAAAAAGACAGTTGTGCAGTAAGTAAGCAATTTCTGTGTTGGGGGAAAAATCTATCAACAGATTTGACAAAATTTGTCTTGATTCCTATTAATTCAGTTACCCTGCTTTCTGGTTTGGAGCCTTCACACCCTGAAAAAGACCAGAAGGAAGAAACCAAGGTTCTCATTCCCTCCATGAGGCCAAGACACAAAAAAGGATGCTCTTTGCATAAATCAAAGGCTGATGAAAATTCTCTTTTTAAACTGATGGACAGTCTCTGGGACTCCTAATTTATCCTCCAAAACTATCTAGATTTAGAATCAGAGAGTCTCAGAGGTGGAAGAGAGGCTGTCTCATCCAAACCATGCCAGAACAAGAAAGGCCTTTTGCCACATCCAGGACAAATGGCCATCCACTTTCTACTTGAAGACCTTCCAAGAGGAGAAGCCCCCAGGATTCTGAGGTGGCCCATTACACTTTTGGATTGCTCTGTTGGGAAGTGTTTTTGCTTATTTTTTTCCCAGACCACAAGGCTAAATCTAAATGACAATTTCCACCCACTACTTCTCATTCAGCCCCCTGGGGTCAATCCGATCAAGTCTATTACTCTGTGTTCTACCACATGCTAGCCCTGAAATGGACTTTAGAAATCAGTTAGTCCAAGCTCCTAATTTTTCAGATGAAATTAAATGACCGAAGATCCTAATAAAATTTAGATTTGGAAGAAACCTCAGAGACCATCTAAACTAGTTCCTTTGTTTTCACAAATCAGAAAACTGAGGCTAAATCACTTGCCTAAGAGTCAGAGGCAGGATTTGAACCCAGGTCTGCTGGCTATAAAGCCAGCACATTTTCCACAATGCCTTAGTGAAAGCGACTTGTTAGGGACCATTTCAAACAAAGTACTGAATCCTATCACAAGCTGTAGATACCTCTATATGTCAAATGATAATTAAGTTAAATTCTGAGCTTACAATACTGCCACTGTGTTTTGTAGACTTCTTTTTCATCTGAGAGTCTTATAATATAAACAAGCTAAGATAATGTCTCAATTTATAAATGGTTTTGATTTATTAGTGAAAAATGAGTAAAAAATTAGTGGGAAATTAGTGGGAAAAATTAGTGGGAAGTCTCCATATTCCAGGTTTCAGATCACACCACCATAACATAATAGCATAGCATAGCATATCATCATATCATATATATCATATATAATATGTATTATATAGCTATAATAGCAGCATTCCACAAAGGGCATACCAGTGAATAACTGACCATACATTCCAGGTCATTGACAACACTCCCCTATACCACCCAAGGTCATATTTGTTTGAAGATAATTGGTTTTAAAAATTAATCTTGCTTTTCTTTTCTAAATAGTTTCTTAAAAAAAAAACCAAATGGAGTATAATTCTTGTATCATGAAGGGATTGATTCCACTTGGTGAGTTTTCTCACTTCTCTTGCTTGGTTCACAGTCCCCACCCAGGAAATCAGGGCTAATGAATGACTGGCATCATCACCACAGGTGCTGAAAGCATTTCCCCACTGGTGACCCCACTTCTCCATCAGACATTACTCCAAGTGAGAATGTTGTTTATTTCTTCAGTCACTAATAGGGAGAAGGGGAAGAGAAAATTATTTCAGTGCCCTCTTATACATCTACAGGAATTCTGCACCTAGTCTGTGGGTTCAGATTGCAGTTCATAAGAGATAAACAGCGGGACTCTCGCATGATATCATAATAAATTAAAAAAGCTTCATCCACAAGTTTTCATTCCATTTTAGAATGGGAAATATGTGGGGGTGATTTGCAAAAATTCTATGCAATGGAATATGTGTTGAGATTATCCAAGTATGAAATGTATGTCTCTAGAATGCTGCGAGACTGTATTCAGCTCCAGAAGCCAACATTTGTACCTAGAAGGGACCTTCTAGGTCATCTGGTCTAACACCATCATTTTACAAATGAAGAATCAGAGACCCAGAAAGGTGAGATGATGTGCCTAAAATATAGTCTTATAGCAGAAGTAAGAGCTGAACCCAATTCAGTTCAAGTTCCAATACATGTATTATTGTCTCACATGGAATTAGCTGAATCTCAATGATACTTGTTTGTCAAAAAGGTACCAACATGATGTAATAAGGTTTCATTTCATAAGAGCTGGGCAAATAATAACACCCAGCATTTACGCGGTACCAACTATGTGTCAGGCACTGTGCTAAGTGCTTTATAAATATCATCTCATTTGACCCTCACAACAATTCTATGAAGTAATAATTATAACAATAGCCAACATTTATATTGTGTTTACTGTGTGCCATGGTACAGCTAGGTGGTTGTGTGCAGAGTGCCTGGAGACAGGAAGACCCAAGTTCAAATCCAGCCTCAGGTACTTACTAGTTATGTGACCCTGGACAAGTCACTTAACCCTGTTTGCCTTAATTTCCTCATTGGTAAAATGAGCTTTGGGAGGAAATGGTAAATGACTCCAATATCTTTGCCAAGAAAACCCCAAATGGGGTCATGAAGAGTCAGATATAACTGAAACAACTGAATAACAACAATGGTATCATGTATCAAGCACTGTGCTAAGGTCTCTGAAATTATTGTCTCATTTGATCCTCACAACAACCCTGGGAGGTAGGTGCTATTATCTCCATTTGTTGGTTGAAAAAACTGAGGGAGAAAACGGTTAAGTGACTTGCCCAGGATCATACAACTAGTAAGTGCCTCAGGCCAAATTTGAACTCAGGTCTTACTGACTCTAGGACCAGTGCTCCTCTCTGCCCCTAATAACATCCAAGAAACAATAATAACTGCAATAGCAACTGTAGCTGGGATTTTCATTTTTCAGCTGTTTTTTCTTTTTATTCATTTTTTTTCTAATCTCCATCAGTAAGGCTCTTCCCTTGGCATATTCCTCTAACACTACCTCACAAAATGGAGAGCAAGTTCTGGTCATCCCAATTCAGGTCACGGGGTCATAGATGTAGAGTTAGGAGCAAACCTTGAAAGTCATTGGTTTTACAGACGAGGAAGCTGAGAGGGAAGGCACTTGTCTTGAGTCCGATAAGAGGAAGACTGACTGTGCGTGGAAGAGGCAACAGGTTAGATGTCTCTCCTTGGACGACTAGCCTCGCCATGTTGGGAGAGGTTGGCCAAAAGACAATGTCTTCTTCATCCATAGCAATTCTGAGAAATCATCTCTTAGGAAAGATGCTGAACCTCTCAGGCCAGCTGTAAAGGAAGAGGTTAGTCTCAATGACTCTGAAGGCCCTTTCCAGCTTTAAATCTATGATCCCGTGATGAACTAAGTCACATCAGCATTGTAACCTGAGTCCATGGCTGGAGGGAACAGCCCATACTGCTGAAATCCCAAATCCTTAATTAATTAATTAATCCTTGCCGTCTTTATTTTTTCTGTAATAATTATGTAAAATGCTTTAAAGCTGTCAAAGTCCCATTCATTATCTCATTTTTTGTGTGGCAGGTATCAACGTCATTTCTTAGATGAGGAGACTGAGGCTTACAAAGGTGAAGGGATTTGCACATGGCCAAAGAGCTAGGAATCACAGGAGGCAGGATTTGAACTCAGATTTTCATGATTTCACAGTCCAGAGCTCTGTACACTAAGCCATGTGCCTCTGCTAAGCAAAGAGTTTGGGGGTGGGAACCCTCAGAGACAGGATTTGAACCCAGGACTTCTTGTCTTCAAGGTCCAGCGCTCTGTCCAGTAAGCTGTGTGCCTCTAATAAGCATGGAACTTGGGGGTGTGGTGAGGGGGTTCATTTTGGTAATGAAACAAAATTAAACGTAGGGCTGGCTGGGGTGCGCATTTCTTCAATACTGAAGTGGTTCTGGGCAGAAGCATTTGTAATTCAAATGGGGAAATAAAGAAATCACATCATCCATTTGGTTTTGGATAATTGGTTTGGGGTCACAGAACTGCTAAGTGCACCAGGGCTCTCTGACCTCCCTCGCTCTTCCAAGGGGTTTGAAAAATTCCATGGGCTTTCTCTTCTGGAAAACAAGTATTTGGTTGTTCTTTTTAATTCTTTATCTAAGAAAAGGAGAGACAGAAAAGAATACTTGATAGATGCAGCTAAAACCTAATGAGAGCCCCCCCTCAGGAAATTAACAACATTTGCCCAAATGCAGCTGTTAGGAGGGGCACAGAGGGCAAAGCCAATGGGATCCAACAAATAAGCTGAAATTGGGGCACTCATGAGAGCCGCAGTTATTCAGTCTCTTTCTCTTTTCTGAAGGATAAAACACAGCCCACCTCAAATGGCCCGGCCACTTATCTGCAGGAAAAGGGTTTCTGGGCTGCAGCTTCACCTGGCTCCTTCCGTGCGGCCATCAAAGGCATTGCTGGGGCTCTGCATTCATTATGCTAGGTGAACCAAGTGTCAATGGCCTCTCTCCCCACCCCACATAGCCAACTGGTCTTCTCCTATGGATAGAGGTCCCCCTGCTGGTTTTTGGAGAGCAAACACGGGGGGAAGGTGGGCAGATCCATTCATGGTAATTAAAACAAATGCCATTCACCGAGTCACAGCAGTGGCCAAGTGGGTAGACTGGG